TTAAGTGAACCAGGAGAAATGAAGACATTGATGCATGAAGTGTGTTAATGTTTGGTAATAGAGAGAGTGAAATACAGACAGACCGTAGGAAGCATTCAGACTGTTTCAGTTCCCTATCAAGAATGTATCATTTGTAGGTTTCTGAGAAAAGACAGATAAATCTGACAAATCATAGGAAATACAGATTATCAGCTGTATGTTGAAATTACAAATGTATTTGTGTTAAAGGGATACTGTAGTGCCAGGAATACAAAGCTGTATTCTTGGCACTACCGATTCCTCTGCCTCCCCCCTCCCTCCCGCCTGTCTTACCCGGTAAATAAAGGGTTAAAAAAACTTTTATTTACTTACCTCATCCGTGCGCCGATGTCCCTCTGTGCTGGGTCAAAGCTCCGCCCCCATCTCCGTCCCACGGCCTCCCCATAGGGAAGTTTTGAATCAATGCTTTCCTATGGGGAAAATCTGACGCTGGAGGTCCTCATGCAGAGCATAAGGACGGTCAGCATCAGATAACAGACCAGTCTGTTTGTTTTCCGGATCCCTCTAGTGGCTGTCTGATAGACAGCCACTAAGGGCAGACTTAGAGCTGCAATGTAAACATTACAGTTCTCTGTAACTGCAGTGTTTTACATTGCAGCACTAGGTGCAAAGGGACACAGCACCCAGACCACTTCAATGAGCTGAAGTGGTCTGGGTGCCTACAGTGTCCCTTTAAGTGTATGCTGACCCGCAATACACAAATACCCCATAAATACCTTCTGACCCCACGATTTCCCTCCACCACTTCCCAATACTACTACAAATAAGGTAGACTACTATTTTAGTTGGATAGGTATTAGGCCATAGCTCTAATGTAACTCCCATTACCAGCAACAACACAACCAAAAAACAACCTGTGAGAACTGGAAGATGGCTTTCCTTAAACTTTACTTTTTTTGAACCGGTGTCCAAACCGGTCTGCATTCGCAAGCATCCTCCGTGCTCTCCAAGCCAAAGTAGGCAAATCTTCCCTTTTCTAACTATTATCTGACAAAGAGCAGTCATATCTTCTTTGATTGTTGAAAATTACCCTACTTTCATCTGCACAATTGAGACTCCATTGTGGTCAACAAGAACTCAACTCTGCTGAACTGTGTGTGTGTTAGTGGCAGCCTTGTTAACTGGCTATGTAACAGGAAATGTTTACTACAGTAATCTTGCTTCAGACGAAGACTGAGCAAATTTGTATGCTTGTGATGTTAAAACGTAGTCAATGAGCAAAAGGGGCGGTGCCATTTTCTTTTATCTGTGCTGATTGCTTGGAAACCCACCAGTCAGAAAACCTGATGGTGCCATGTTCTGCTGTTTCTTTTAAGGGCCACATAAAAGTAAGCAGAAATGATTCGTTTGAACTGTGCATCCGAGAATACCTGAAATAATTATTTATAATGAATAATGATTACCTTTGTTATACCATTGAATAAGTGAATCTTGCAACATAGAGAGACATGCAGGAGAGTGAGGTTAGAAAGAATCTTAATTTGTTTTGTGTCACACTTTATCTAAGGCCATGATGCTCAGCAGGATTTGTGAATGTGTACTCTGCATACAGTTACAGTACCTTGGTTAGCAATTGCTGTTGTATAATGTTAAAGTGGTACATGATACTACATCCACATGTTGTCAACAAGATATAGAACGTTTACCTTCAATTTTTTTGTGTGACAAAATAATACATTGTTGAGAATGTACAGGCTGGATTTCCTATATCTATTTACATGCTTGGCTTTCACTCATAAACTTCAATGTAATCCACCTGTCAGGAAATCAGTCATGAGGTGGAAAGCTTTTAGGTGGAGTGCATGATGACTAAAGCATTGCCCTGGATTGAGCCGCTTTCTATATATATATATATATATATATATATATATATATATATATATATATATATATATATATTTTTTTTTTTTTATTATGGCATCCTGACTGTAACATCATATTATTTGCACAGCACGTAGAATTAACAATGCAAATTGAGTCTAAATCCAGTTGATACATAATGGCATGGATATGGGGTGGTAGGAGCACTATGGCACGTGCTCCCCCCGAGTATCTATCTTCTTGCTGGGGTTTGCATCATTTATGTTACGAATAAAGCGTAGCAAAGTGGCTAGCCGGAAATAGAGTTCTGGGAGTGATTATGCTCTGGCAGGACTCTTTAGTTAGGTGCCAGTGATGGGAGTGCCAATAAAGAGCGACAATATGATGTTATTGTAATAACACACGCCGCACTTGGCGCTGACAGAATCCTAACAGAGTGGGATCTTTCTTAGAACCCTAACTCCTGTGGCACTTGGTCATTTACCACAAGGAAAGAGGAGGAGTGTAGTGACAGGAGTTGGGGGAAGTGTGAGTTTAAGAAGATAGATGCAACTGGGCAAGGAGGTGTGAGTAAAGGGAAACACTTGAATTAAAGGGACGCTCAAGGCACTAAAACAATTTTATCTAAATGAAGTTTTATGGTGCCAGGAGGCCCCGAGAGGCCTTACCTGAGTGGTTTAACCCCTCCAGCGACGATCTCCACTCCCACCCAGGCGGCATTCTGCTTCTGAAATGTCAGTTTCAGGAAGCCCGGAGTGCCAATGGGCAGGGTCGTCACTGACTGGCCGAGGACGGTTTAACCCTGTGAGGTCAGTGTACCTCCTGGCACCATAGCAACTTAATTTACATTAAGTTGTTTTGCTGCCTGGAGTGTCCCTTTAATTGGTGGGTATGAAAGACCTGATTATATGGGATAAGCCAACATAGTTAAAATAAATTCTTGGAAAGTGTCAATTCCCCTTTAAGCTGGTGCTCATAGCTACTGATGCAATGCCACATTTAGATGAAATAAGTGAATCAAAAGATGAGAATGTTTTACATTTACTGCGTATTATATTGTTCGTATTCATATACTTTGTGCCCTGTTGCAGGGCTGCTTTGGCTGGCTTCTAGTTGGCTCATATAGATTGCTGTCAGCCTCAAGCATCATCTGCTGAGTGACAGAATTGGGGCCCCAGCACTAAGGCGACCAGGGGCAACTTCTCCTTTTTGATGAATCATTACTGAGCTCCAGGATTTCTGTTCCCACTACTGGAATAAGTCACTCACTGAAGACATGGCCATATGAATTCCATGTGGATCAATGCTGGTTTTGTTGGTTCAAGCTGGTGATTTTTTTTTTCCAAGTGCATATAGATGTCTGCACCAGCACTTGTGTGGGGCTGTGCGCATGCTAAGTGGTCAAGGTTCAATACAATTAAAGGTTCACTAGAAGCAAAATAACCACTACTACTTAATGAAGTGATTATGGTGCTAAAACAAGAGAGTTCAAGCAGTTTGACACAATCAGTGGAATTCCATTATGATCGAGTTCATTGTATATATATATATATTGTATAATTCTGGTCAATTCCTCTTGGACTCCTGCTCATACCACCTTTAACTGCACATTGCAATGTGTTCTCACTCTTAACTCCATAACCTTGAATACATAACTTACACCAGTACAACTGCAATAAGCTTTAATGGGTATGGCGTTTGGAGTGTAATTTTCAAACATGGTGGCTGCACTAGTGGAATTATTCTAAACTGAAGGTGCTTTAAAGGCAAAGCTTTATGGTTGCTCTAGTTCTGGTGGTGTACCTTTTTTAGTCAATTCTGAGATGCACAAAGTATTCCTCATACAGTAGAAAGGAGAGCGTAATACAAATGAAACTGGAATGTATAGTTCTTAAATTATTTAAGTGGAAAGTCTTCCGCATAATTTTGTGCTCATTAAGGATACATCTGATTACGATTTTTAGGTCCCCGTCACTTTTTGTAACTATATTAGTTCTCATACAATACTTTGTCTATCTGACAGAATGCACAGTGAGATACAACTCCGTTGTAACATGGTAATTGGAATTTAAAACCGCCATGATAAATGGAATTTGTAAGTGAATACAGTACTTGACTTTATGGAATCAAATCATGCAGCGCAGTTCCATACTGAACCCAAACAGCTGCTTACTGTCAGTATGCCTACAGCATGGGCCTACCATGAGAAGAAGGGGACTAGCTAGATACTCGATTGCATTTCATGTTTCACCTTTATATTGTACCCTGTAAAAGAACACTCCGGGCACTATAATGACTTCATTTTAATAAAGTTGTAATGGTGTCTGGAGGTCCTGGGTGCTCTTTTATCCTAAGGGTTTAAACTGTTTATGAACGCTTCAAGCTCAGCTTTAATTCCAGAGTATCATTGGCCTCTCTTTGAGAAAATGCATTAGAAACATACTTTGGTAAATTAATCGTAAATGGTTTGACCAAGGTATAACAGTGCCCTGGACATCCGGACACCATAACCGTTTAATTAAGATGAAGTTGTTATTGTGCTTGACGTGTTTCTTTATAGATCAAACAATATACATCTATTTCTCCTCCAACCACTGCTCATGCAGCCACCTTGTCCAAAATTATGCAGTTATATATCTGACAATCCCTTGTGCGCGAATGCACACAATGTGATATGCATGCACCCAACAGTTCTGAATCTGGCAACCGTCCCAATTTCAGGCTCCTTTCCTGGATTGTTTTTCTGGTATCCCAAGTCTGAGGACACCAGAGAGCTGTCCTCACTAGCCTTAATTACACACACACACTTGCACTGTGTGTCTGCCGGGCATAAGGACCATGCACAGTGCCCTGTCTTCCCTTTGAGCCGCCTGCTGTCAGACTTGCATGCATCTGCTCCATGGTGACATTCTCCCATTCCCTGCACTGCCAACATCTTGGCCTGCTCAGCCCTGTCAATGGTACTAAACAGGCTATCGGGTTTTAAGTAGGTGCAACTAGGGATCGACTGATTATCGGTCTGACCGATATTATCGGGCGACATTCGGTATTTTCGGCAATATCGGTATTGGCCTATAGAGATACCGATATTGCCGATAAGGCATACCAGGACCGCCCGGTGGTCCTGGAGGGCCGCAGCAAGCTCTTACTTACCTTCCCAGCAGCTCCCTTCAGCTCCCCTGTTTAAATTTTGCGAGTCCCGCAATTTAGACAGGAGATCTGATGGGAGCTGCTTGGAAGGTAAGTAAGAGATTGCTGCGGGCCCCCACTGCTCAGTCCATGCCCCCTCCCTGGCCTGAAAGTTCACAGATTATTGGTATCTGCTCTAAAAAATCAATAACTAACAATGCAGTGAGGAAATCAGCATTAAAAAATATGATGTATAAAAAAAATTATATAAATATGTTGGCTGGTAACAAAATACGTGTATGGTCTTTTAGTGCTTGTTATATTTAAAGGGCATACATATAATTAAATCTTTTTAATACAAGCACTCTCCAAGCTAAAAAAATACTAAAACACTAGAAAGTGGATTTTGTGGTGTCATGGAAAGAATGTATAACATTTATTTAAACAAAGGACCCATTGCTAAGAGGTCTTAAGACAAAACAACATTTTCTCCTAACGTGAGAAACAAAACCAGTTTAAAAAAAGTATGTATCCATAAAAAATATATATAATTAATTCAGCAACATATGACATAAATATTGTCTTACAGTCGTTTCTGAAAAGTTTGGAGTATTCTTTGAAAAAGCACAAATATTATGACAAATTGTAGCGAAGAGAGTAAAAAAAACCCAAAAAAAACCCAACCCTCTAAAATGTTTAAATACCAAACTTCTTATATTTTCTAAGACGTTCTGCAGCAATGTTTAGCTTTGTTTAAGAATATGTTTTTTTCAGAGTGTAAGCAAATAAAATATAGCTTGGTTGCTACTTCTAAGTGCTGCTTCAAAGTGTGTGATTGGAGATTTTCTGGAGAGTTTTACAGAATCTGTCTAAGATTTTGCCAAGAGTTTTCTTTTTTACTGTTACAGGTAAGATTCATCTATAGGAAAAGGTTACTGATTGCACAGGGTCTGATTTCCTGTTGGTTATTGGGCATTTGATTTGATTAGCTAGGTGGTTGCTATTGATTGTTAGTTAATCAGCTATTGTTTGCAAATAAGCATAGGCCTACCCAGGTGTTAAACATTCCTAGTGGGTGGTGATTTTAAGAGTTATATAAGGGTTGTGGTCATTAGCTTGGCTAATATAGCTTGGTTGCTACTTCTAAGTGTATAATTGGAGATAAACCGGAGATTATCTGAGGTATACATGAGGACAAAAAAAATTGTGGAGACCTTCTCAGGCACCGAGTGTAGTGATATTATGGAGATAGGTTTGGAGACTATGGTGAGGTCTAATGGAAAGCAGTTGTTGTTGGGGGATCCTGTCATAAGAGGTGTGGAGCTGGGCAAAAAAGTGATAAAACATCAATCCAATTGCAACTCAAAAGAAGGACAAGCTTAGTGACATGTCTACAAATGCTCGCAGTTTAGGTTATAAGAACCATGAACTTGTGGCAATAATGGCAACTGATAATGTAGATTTAGTCGCTGTTACTGAGACATGGTATAATGAGAAAAATGACTGGGACATAGCAATACTTTTTATATAGAAAAGACAGGGAAAGAAAGGGGGGTTGGGGGTGGGGATGCCCCTATATGTGAAGGATAACATAAAATCTAGCCTAATAAAAGTTAGTTAAGCGAACATAGAGTCCGTTTGGATTACGTTAGAATTTGGTAATCACACAGTAACTCATGTAGGTGTGATTTATAGGCCCCCTAGACAAATAGAAGAGTTGGATAATCTACTAGTTGAGGAAATAACTAAAATGACAATGAAGGGGAAAGTTATCATCATGGGTGACTTTAATCTTCCTGATGTTAACTGGAAAAACAAAATAGCTGCTGGTGCAAGGAGCACACGTATTCTAAACTCCCTCCTGGGATTGTCTCTAAAACAAGTCGTTGAGGAGCCAACTCGTAAAGAGGCCATACAAGATTTTGTGTTAACAAATGGAGATTTGGTATCAGATATTACTGTAGGTGAAAGTTTAGGATCCAGTGATCATCAGTCAGTGTGGTTTAATATAACAGTGACTGAGTCACACCACTGGAGTAATTTAAATGGAGTCCAAGAGAAATTGGATTATTTAAAAGTTGCACTGCTGAAAGCAACAGAAAATTGTATTAGGCTTGTCAGTAAAAGCAAAAAATTCAAGAACCCATTGTGGTACTGCGCAGATGTGGCCAAAATAGTAAAAAACTAACTTAGCATTTAGAAATTATAAAAGGAAGATAGACAGATCTATAAAATTAGGCAGAAAGAGGCTCAGCAAGTTATAAGAGCTTCCAAATTACACACAGAAGAGAAAATAGCACAGTAAGTAAAAAAGGGGACAAAACATTTTTTAGATACATCGCAAGATTTAAACAAGGAAAGTAAAACAAGGATTAGTTAGATTAAAAACAAAAGAAGGGAGGTAGGTAGGTAGGTAGGTAGAAGAGGATGAAGGTCTACCTGACTGTCTCAATTAATATTTTTGTTCAGTATTTACAGATGAAAATGAAGGAAAGGGGCCTCAGTTTGGAAAAAGGACAAATTAGTCATTTGTTACATGTGAGTTTACAGAGGAAGAGGTTCTATTTCAACTGTCAAAAGTAAAAACAAATAAGTCAATGGGACCTTATGGAATACACCCAAAGTTATTAAAAGAGCTTAGTGGTGTACTAGCAAAACCATTAACAGATTTATTTAACCAATCATTAACAGGAGTAGTCCCAGAAGATTGGAAGTTAGCGAATGTTGTGCCCATTTACAAGAAAGGTAATAGGGAGGAGTCGGGCAACTATAGGCCAGTAAGCCTTACTTCAGTAGTGGGGAAAGTGATGGAAACCATGTTAAAGGATAGGATTGTTGAACATTTAAAATCACATGGATTTCAAGATCAGAGACAACATGGGTTTACTTCAGGGAGATCATGCCAAACTAATCTTATTGATTTTTTTGATTGGGTAACTAAAATAATAGATCAGGGTGGTGCATTAGACATTGCTTACCTAGCTTTCAGTAAGGCTTTTGACACTGTTGCACATAGAAGGCTTATCAATAAACTGCAATCTTTAAGTTTGTAATCCAATATTGTTGAATGGTGAAGGCAGTGGCTGAGTGACAGGCAACAGAGGGTTATAGTCAAGGGGTACCTCAGGGATCTGTACTTGGACCCATTTTCTTTAAATTTGTATTAGTGATATTGTAGAATGTCTTGATGGTAAGGTACGTCTTTTTGCTGATGATACTAAGATATATAACAGGGCTGATGTTCCAGAAGGGATTAGCCAAATGGCAAATGATTTAGGTAAGCTAGAAAAATGGTCAGAGTTGTGGCAACTGACATTTAATGTGGATAAGTGCAAGATAATGCATCTTGGACATAAAAACCCAAGGGCAGAGTACAGAGTACAGAATATTTGATAATCCTAACCCTAGGGATTTAGGGGTAATTATTTCTGATGACTTAAAGGTTGGCAGACAATGTAATAGAGCAGCAGGAAATGCTAGCAGAATGCTTGGTTGTATAGGTAGAGGTATTAGCAGTAGAAAGAGGGAAGTGCTCATGCCATTGTACAGAACACAGAGAGACCTCACTTGGAGTATTGTACGCAGTACTGGAGACCGTATCTCCAGAAGGATATTGATACTTTGGAGTTCAGAGAAGGGCTACTAAACTTGTTCATGGATTGCAGGATAAAACTTACCAGGAAAGGTTAAATGAACTTAACATGTATAGCTTGGAGGAAAGTCTAGACAGGGGGGATATGATAGAAACATTTAAATAAATAAAGGGAATCAACACAGTAAAGGAGGAGACTATATTTAAAACAAGAGGACATAGTCTTAAATTAGAGGGGCAAAGGTTTAAAAATATCAGGAAGTATTACTTTATTAAGAGGGTAGTGGATGCATGGAATAGCCTTCCAGCTGAAGTGGTAGAGGTTAACACAGTAAAGGAGTTTAAGCATGCATGGGATAGGCATAAGGCTATCCTAGCTATAAGATAGGGCCAGGGACTAATGCGAGTATTTAGAAAATTGGGCAGACTAGATGGGCCGAATGGTTCTTATCTCTTACATTCTTTGTTTCTATGTTTCTAAAAAGCTAATCAGGGAATGGAATTATAGTTATAGTTGATTGAGAGTTACCCTTCTGATATTACTGTGGTCAGAATGTTTGCCTGCTTGTGCTGCAAACAGATGTGGGTTTCACCCACAGCACATACAATATTCATCCCACAGAAACTTTAATACTTTGTAGACACAAAATGTACATGTATTTAGCAACTTTGTGTATGTTTTGTACTTCACTTATATGCACTTAGACACCTGGCATAATTAAGCACTATTAGAGTAGATGGTCCTAAAAAAAAACTGCATTTGGGGCGTTGTTTGAGCTTGGATAAAATTGCCGCTTGAGCTCTCTCTGCTGCCAGATGGCTCAAAATAAATAGTGACTTTTCAGCTCAGCAGCCTATCAATATTATTATTATTATTGCCATTTATATAGCGCCAACAGACTCTGTAGCGCTTTACAATATTATGAGAGGGGGGATTTAACTATAAATAAGACAATTATAAGAAAACATGAACAATAGGTTGAAGAGGACCATTCTCAACCGAGCTTACAGTCTATAGGAGGTGGGGTATAAAACACATTAGGACAGGAAATAGCAATCAAATAAGGTGGGAGTGAAGCAAGACTGGAGGAGAGAGTCCCAAATGGAACAGAATAAAACTAGAACATATACAGAAAAGAATCAAAGAGATAACCTTAATAGAAACAGGAGCTATAGTGAAGTAGTAAAATATCCAAGAAGGAACAATTATAGACATAATGAATATGTACAAACTCCAAGAACCGATAGGAGAAACTTAAAATACACAAATCCAAATAGAAGTATATCAACTAATCCAAATGATATTCCACTAACGAATAGATTTCAAAGCTTAACCAATCAGGAGTCAGATCAGTTTTTTCAACAGGACCGGACTCAACACCTCCAGAGACGACTTCAACATCCTCAGGTATGGGAATCACCAGGAAAACGCCTGAGTCCATTGGAGGAGGAAGAAATAGAAGAAGAAGAACCACCAAGCAGAGAGAAAAGAGGAAGGAATTAAACACAGAAAGTATTTTTAATTTGAC